ACTGTTGGAGGTCCCTCTTACCTGAATTTATCACCATTTCGATCACACCTCTGCATGGAACTGGTTGACGGGTTTAAAAGAGAATACGGACACAGATCAGTTCTCGTTGCAATGATTTAGCATGGAAGGCGTGGGATAAACGAAACAAGGAACATAAAGGGCAAGCGAGCTTAACCCCTCCTGACTTGGTAGACTGGTGCAAAAACTACCTGGCTATATTTCGTTCGGCTCAAATTCACAAGATCTCTCCACAACGGTATGCCCACACGAGCACGTGGCATCCTCCGCCAGTTGGTCCTGTTAAAATCAATACGGACGCAGCAGTTTCTTCGGGGAATCTTTTCTTTTCCGTCGGGATGGTAGCGAGGAATGATGAGGGCCAATGCATTTGGTGGAGAGTGATTAAGTTACCCGGCAACTTACATCCTGCAGAATGTGAAGCAACGGCAGCGCTCAAGGCGCTACTCTTGGCGCGAGAAAAAGGGTGGACAAATGTGGTGGTTGAGGGTGACAATCTCCAAGTTATCACAGCTTTGCAACATGGCGAAAGCGATTTGTCGTCCTTTGGTTTATTGATAGATGAGTGTTTGCGCCTTTCTCTGGATATAGAATATTGTTCTTTTAATTTCGTCAAGCGTACGGGGAATTTGTTAGCCCACGCTATTGCTCACTTTGATTGCAACTTTCTATCGGAGGGATTAGTTTTACCCTCGATCTTGGCTGGTTAGCCGTAATACTAAACCTTTTCTCAAAAAAAAAAAAAAAAAAACAGCAACAAAAAGTTGGCAAAAATAGTAAACCCCTGTCTCCAGCTATTATTGAATAATCACATTTTTAATTTCAATAATACAACACTTACAATGATTAAATGCGGATTAATCTATTAAATTAATTCCCCTAGCTAGCTTATGTTTATTACTAGCGCCGACATGTAATATCGTTTATAATTTAATTCTCCAATTTTTAAAAGTCCCACCTAATTAATTTGTTGACCAACAAGAAAAGTTGTCACTGTCGTTAAATGCTTCTTAATTAATTAATTAAATTTTATAATTAAATAAACATTCGAAATTTCTTCCTATGTTAATACTAAGAAGTATACTTTGTTCAAAGGCCCACAACATGGAATTTAGTAATGGCGAAGCGGCCATTGTTGGCCTTCCAAGTTCTGCACGATTGGCTTTGAGGGTTAATACTTGAAAATCAAAATATAATTTATCCATTGGAGTTGCTAATATTTATTTATTGTTTTAAAAGATAATATTCTTCATATTAAAGGGATAAATAATTTACACTCAATTTTTTGTAATTAGATTGAATTTTTTTCAGAAAGTTCAATAAATTTACTTCTGCTCAGTCTCATTCTGTTACAATCTCATTCAGAATTCACTGCGGTAACACCAATTGAACCATTACACACACTCCAGTTCATCGAAATCCTAGATCTGACCGGAACTCATAGATATGACACACACTCTCTCTCAATATCTCCCTTATTTAATCACACTCGATAACTCACAATGTTAGACTAACTCGGCAGTCACAGAAAAACGATAAAGGACTGAAACAGTTAAAAGACTCAATGTATGTGTGTTGGTCTCTTGTCCTCTCTAATGTATGAATATAAAGACGAAAAAATAAGCTGATCTCCAGTGGGGAGACCTCTTTTAGTACAACCATCGTCATAGTCAAAGAGGGTATTGTTGAAACGGACGATGAATGGCAAGAAGAGACCAACCAAAAAGCAGATTAGTGTTTGATGAATGAGAAGGAACAACCTTTTGTTTCTTAAATGGACGAACGCGATCAAATGATAGATCCCAATCAAAGTTCAAGAGAGTTTCATAATTCGGACGAGTTAAGTGTGCAATTGGGCAATTTGTTTTTAGGCGGCCGTCTCAGGTAAAAATGGGTTAACTCAACCACTAATTGCGCATTTCGTGTTCATTAGGAACTCTCTTAACAAAAAAAAACAATGTAATTATGTATTTGGAAACTTTAACTTAATCTCCACATCTTAATTACATTTCCATTAATCCATTTTACATAAGAAGAATGGTCACAAGTAGTTACTAGAGCAAAAACACAAAAAATATAATGTTATTTATGACATTAAATTTCAGGGTACTCCCATCAATGCAGTCAGTACCACATGGCCTTTGTTGTAATGGAGAACAAGATCAAGTCAACACTTTGACCCCCCCCC